GGGCCGGGGGCGCACGCCGGGGAGCGGGAGAGCGGCCGGGGAGCGGCCGGCCGGGAGCTCACTACGCTTTAGGAAAATTTCGCCATTTCTCAGTCAATGAATCTTCCACAGTCATCGTCCCAAACCCTCCTTCGCGCCCACCGATCCACTCACAATTCCTTAATCAGCACCATCTTCCCGGAACCCCCTCACAGCTGCCGCCGCTACCGCCGCCTCTGCCGCCACCACCGCCGCTACCGCCTCTCAACACGCATGCGCGGCCCCGCCTCCCTAGCCGCCGAGCCACTGCTACGCCTGCGCGTCCACACCCTTCCGCCGCGACCCGTTGCGTCAGCGCGCCAGTAGGGGGTTAGCTCCGCCCAGTTGCACGCCCCAAGGGGCGCACGAGGCCTCCCCGGCATCTACGCAGAGCGCTGGAGAGCCAGTGCCTTCTATTGCGCCTGCGCGAGAGGAGGGCGCAAGCCTGCCTGCTTTCAGTGACTCCTCCCACCAGCGGCCGGCGCTCTAGGCACGTGTGCAGCCTACGCTTTCCGGTGAGTGTTTCAGTAGGTTCCCTGGAAGGCATTTTGCGGCTGTTAGTGCTGTGCTCTCCCTGCTCGGAGAGGAGCCCCTCTTAGCTGCCCCTCAGTTCCTCAGGCCTCCCTGCAGATTTCTGACGGGCTCTGGATGCCGGCCTTGCGGGGTCTGCACCCTCCGGGTTCTGCCGACCTGGAGTCCGCAGGAGGCTGTTCCGGATGCCCAGAAACTCGCTGTCCTCGCAGGTCCTTGCCCCGACTGCTAGTCCCCCACAGAGGTGAACTAAACCAGTTCTACCGGCCTCTCACAAGCTTAATTCACCATTCCCCGTGTATGTAATTGTGGAGTAAATAGCTCCTTACAGTACAAATGCTAGTGGATTTACTGAGGCAAACCAAAAGATTCCTGAACTCACGCAGTGGGTGAAACCCTTATTGCACCAGTTGATACAACACAGCCCTGGTCAAAGAGCGTCCCCTAGAAAGTAAGGGTCCTTTATCTGGGGTCTGAAGACGTTTTAGTGAGGCTCCCAGGAAATTTGTGAACCGCCAAAATTCATGCATCGTTTCATGTTTTTGCACACTTTTCTAGGATCTATGGCTTCATTTGCTTTTGTTTACTCAGCATTTTGTCTTCCCATTTTTCCCTCCTTCTTCCCTTCCAGGATGATCTTCATTGAAAGTATTTCCACAAAAACTAGGAATATTTCCAAGAATGCTTTAATTTTATGGAATATAAAAGCGTAGAACATAATATTGTGCCACTTTGAGAAAGGCAAGGTTGGTCTTTAGAGTAGAGAGACTTGGCCTGAATCTTCCAACTCAAGATACATGTGTCTCTCAGATGCTCAGTTGAAGGGTCTGAAAAAGAAGACAGATCTGTGTGCAACAGATTTGTTTAAAGGAATGAAGTACCTTTGTTACATATTACCTGATGTATAATAGATGTTCAGTGAATGGGAACCTTTTTAAAAGTTTCCAGAGAGCGGGTGCAATAATTTAAATTAAGATGTAAACCCTGAACAGCAAGATGGCAGGATAGAGGGGGTCATGTTCCAAGCTGCTCTGTAGTATGAAACCAAGAGAGCAGACAGACAGTTTCTCCATAAGGTGAGCAAATGAAAAAGGGAGGGGCTCTACTGGAATTTAAAACTGGACATTCAAGGCAGACAGGGGTCATAGGAGGTTGGATATAATAAAATAAGGCAAAAATCCCTAGCAGCACAGCCACTGCCATGCCAAGCCAGAAGCACCACTCAGAGCGGAACCCTCTGTGAGCACAGCGCAGAGAGAAGGGAATTAAAGGAACCCACATTTTGGGAGGTCTCAGGTGTGTCTGGCCATGGACTGTTAGAGATCAAGGACATCACCCAACAGACCTGAAAGATGTGCTGCATGATATCTGTTTGCAGGGAAAGAAGCTGCCATCTCTCTAGACAGTGAGCAGAGGACAGGGAAGGAACTATTTTGCAGCCACATGCAGAGGCTGGCATTTGAGAGAGCTAATTGCTGGCAAACCCAGGTTTGGCCTGAAATAGAGGCCTGGTAAACACACACCGCATGACACAGAGTGTGCTTACGTGACCAAGAAAATCAAAAGTGGAGAGAGGTTTACACAGGGAACAACTGGGGGTGGAAACCCACCCAGTTCTACTGCTCCCTCTGCTATCCAGCTGCTTGCCAGACAGGCTGGGAGAGACGCATCTGGCCAGGAACTCAGAAGGGCTGGGGCAGGAGAGATTGTTTGGAGACTGAACCCAGGACCAGGAAGCATGGGGTCTGAAGGTGATGTAGAGACTAAGAATTGGCTCCCCCACTACAGGAGTGGAACCCAGGTGAGATCCCGGGAGTGCAGTCCTCCAACGTGGGCTAGCAAGTACTGGGCACTGAGGTGCACTGATTTAAAATCTCCAGACCAATTGACATTTAGAGAAGAGCCTGCAGCCCACCTAAGACTAAATCCCGCTTTCAGGAATTCCACCTACAGGATTACCTCTCTCACTCCAGCAATCCAGAGGTTTCAGCATCACACTCCAGATGGCCCTATCTAAAACTGCTGAGAAGAGAAGCTGAGAATATTTTGAACTCCAAAAGAAAACTTAACTTTTTCATCAAGATTTTTTTCTTTTCCTTTTTTAAAAATTCTTTTCCTTTGTTTAATTATTATCTTAATGATGCCTGGATATTTATACATTTTCATGTATTTTTCTCTTTTCCAGCATTAGTTTTTTGTGAATTCAAATGTTCAATTAGTATATTCTAGTTTTGTTTTGTATTACTTTAATATTTTTTTAATTTTTAGTTTGTATTTTTTTTCCTCCTACCTGTTTCCCTTGATTCTCTTTTCTTCTAACACCAACTTTAACTGGTCTCTCCTTCACTGTTTCTCTAATTTTTTACTTCTCTCTTCCCTTATAATCATCACATCTTTTCTTTTTAAAGAGAGAGAGAGAATTTTTTAAAATTTATTTATTTATTTTTTAGTTTTCGGTGGACACAACATCTTTATTTTTTATGTGGTGCTGAGGATGGAACCCAGCACCCAAGCGCATTACGCTTGAGCCACATCCCCAGCCCTCATCATATCTTATATCATTTCTATTCTCTCCTGCTGAGGGCCATTGCCAAGTAGGAATGACACATCGAAATTTCCTTGCCAGCGTACCCCATGTTAAATGGACTTGCCTTGGAAATCCGCTGTGACCTTGCATGTGTGTTTGAGAAAGGTGACCCTGCTCAAGGATGAGGGTGGATCCAGGTTTAAGGTGTATCCTGCAGGTTTGAGGAAGTATCCCGCTCCTTGGGTTTAGGGCGTTCCTGGTTTAAGACAATCTGGGTTTAGGGCAGTTCCAGGTTTAAGTTTATTGCTGCTGGGAATAGGGCGTTCCTGCTGCCTGAGTTCCCCTTGAGTTGGAATTGAGAAAGTTTTTGGGACGTGAATTGGCGGCAGAACTTGGATTTCCCCAGAACGTGTTTGTAGAGGGCCGGTGTGAGTTCGGGAATAAAGGATTGCTGTTTGAATCCAAAAGATGTGTGGTGGCTCGTGATTCAGTGCCCAGCCAAGACTGTGGCACTCTCCTTGTCCACCATCTGAAACTATAAACCCTTTTGTAAACTGGCTGTTTTTATTGTAGGTAATAACCAATCACAACATTTCTGTTTATTGTGATAATTAACATTGTAGATATTATAGTAGAAACTCTTTGGTCTGGGTCCTGGGTTTGTGGCTCAGTGGTAGAGCACTTGCCTGGCATGTGTGAGGCATTGGGTTCGATTCTTGGCACAGCATATAAATAAATAAATAAAGATACATCATCAACTAATAAAATTTAAAAAAAAAAAGAAACTGTTTGGTCTAATGCTGTATATTGTTTGCATTGGTTGTTGTTGTTATTTGTCTCTCCCTAAACAGTGAGGTACCAGAAAACTTCAGGGACACTATAAATCCACAGCATAGAAACTCTACTGCCACAGTTCCATACTGGTAAATGGGTAGACACACAAACAACATGAAAAAGCAAGGGAACAAATCGCCCCAAACAAACCAAGATGCTTGGGCTGGGGCTTGGGCTCAGTGGTAGCGCACTTGCTTGACATGTGTGAGGCATTGGGTTTGATTCTCAGCACCACGTATAAGTAAATAAAGATCTATCAACTACGAAAAAAATTGAAAAACAAACCAAGATACTCCCACAACAAAATCCATTGACACCGCAGTGGAAGAAATGTCAGAGAAGGAGTTTAGAATGTACGTGGTTAAACCGATCTGTGAAGTAAAAGACTGTATAAGGAATGAAACCAGAAAATACAGGAAGTGAAAGATCACTTCAATAAAGAGAGATTCTGAAAAGAAAAAAAAGGCAAAGATTCTTGAAATTAAGGAAACCATAAACCAAACTAAAAATTCAATAGAAAACATCACCAACAGACCAGAACAATTGGCAATGAAGAAAAAATATATGATCTTGAAAATAGAGTTTGCCACAGAGAGATGTCAAGAAACCATGAACAGAACTTCCAAGAATCATGGGATAACATGAAAAGACCAAATTTAAAATTTATCAGGATAGATGAAGGCACGGAGATATAAACCAATGGAATACACAATCTTTTCAGTGAAATAATATCAGAAGATTTCCCAAGCCTAAAGAATGAAATGGAAAATCAAATACAAGAGGCTTACATGACCCTAAGTGTACAAAATTGCAATTAGCCCACAGCAAGGCACATTATAATAAAAATGCCAAACATACAGAATAAGGATAGAATTTTAAAGGCTGTGAGAGAAAAATATCAGATTACCTATACGAGTGGGAAAAGGGGACCTCAGCTGATTTCTCACTTCAGACCTTCAAAGCTAGGAGGTCCCATATCAAGCTCTGAAAGGAAATGGATGCCAACCAGGAATCCTAGATCCAGCAAAATTAAGCTTGAGATTTAAAGATGAAATAAAACCTTCCATGATCAACAAGAGTTAAAAGTATTCACAGCTGGCTGCAGGGGGCACATGCTTCTAATCCCAGTGGCTCGGGAGGCTGAGGCAGGAGGATTGTGAGTT